TAACCTAACCTACCCTATTGATAAAGATATTTAAATAATGTTTAATATAACTTTCTCAATATTTTTATGTATTTTTCATTAGTTTTACCTTTGAATATTGTTTAAGAATGACTACATAAATATTTACATGCCTAGAAATGTATAAAAATTGGCATATTTATTAACTTTGAACCCCCATAACTTTTTATGGGGGTGAGACCGCCACGAACTTTTTATGGTACAGTGGTGGGGGAGATCTCCTCTTTCAACCCCCCCCCCTTTGGGTAGACCTATACCAAAAAAACAAAATAAATGAAAATTATTTCCATATTCAAGCTTCGTTTTCTTATAATTTGAAAATTTAATAAGTGGATATTACCTACCTATACTGACTTAATGTGCACATGCCTTAATTAAAGTACTGAGATGACGTCAGTAAACTTGATAATTTATCTATAAATGTTTTCCAAAGTTATTGTTATCATTTGCATGAGTAGTGCAACTTTACGAAACTGGCAGAAACAAAAAAGTAAATAAAAGTTTGTCCATAGGAATTTTTGCCGTTGGTTATTTAATTAAAATAATATACAGGATGGTCCAAGAAATATGTTCCAATTCATAATGATTACACATTCGTATAAAACTAATGCTTATTGCTAGTATCCTGTTTGCGAAAAAAAAGTATTTAAATGAAGATGCACGATAAGGATCAATAACCATTATTAGTTGTTCAATTTACCTAATGAATAATTAATTGTGCCTGTGTTTTTATTTTTTTTACTTAAAGTTACTATTCTAGGCCAAAATGTATGCATGTGTGTATGTACGTATGTACATTAATCGCTAACGTTCATACATTATTTGTTTATCTAATCTTCTTAATAAATATCTTAATCGAGTATATGAAATTGTTTAATTAATTTATCTGTTTTTATTCTTCACACATTTTAAGTTAATGTAAAATGGGTGATCTATACTCTACAAGCCTTTAACTAATATTGCAATTTTATTAGTGTAAATACACAAAATATAATTGAACTGCTGTAAAACGCAACTAAATAACCACTTAAATTCGAAAATTTCACAAAACGTTTAGAGACTATTACGCGTTTTAACATCCAAGGTGTTATCCTTAGTTAGTGACTAATTAACCCAGACTCAGTTAATCGGTAACTGAGGATGATACGTTGGGTATTGAAACACATATTAAGTTTCTAAATGTTTTGTGGAGTTTTGGGTTTTAAAGGTTTATTTACTTTAAGTACGTAAAAAGAATCGAAACCAGTAGCCACTAAATTAGTGTTGCCCAAACGCAAGAACAAGACGAGACTTAGCCAGTCTTGGTCTTGGTCTTGCGCCAATACACCTGGTCTTGGTCTTGGTCTTGGTCTTGCGCTCCCAGTCTTGGTCTTGGTCTTGGTCTTGCAGCAAGAGTCTTGCAAGTCTTGCAATTACCTATTAGTCTATTACTATTTATTAAAGTTTACTTTAAATCCTAGAAAAACGTATTAGAATTGGAACATTGTGAGCTTGAATGAATATAGCCATAGTAAAGATCAAGCAGATTAATAAATAACTGAAGATTTGATAAGAAATTCGAAAAATCAACTGACCTATATGTCGTTTTCCATGGAAGTAACTGTTTCTTAATAAACATTTATGATCCTTGCTTTCTACCGCGCCGCCTCGCCACGTGCCGGCTCTATGATAAGGATGCCGCCGCAAATCAAACAATAATATAAAGCGTGTAAAAAAATTCGAAATTATTTTGCATGAGTATACCTACACCCTATGGCGGCAATCAAATAGTGTCAAATGTTATGATTTCGGCGTGGCGGCAACGATTGTTTTAGATTTCAAAAGAAGCCGCCGGCGCGTGTATCATAACCATGTACTTCCGAAAAGCGGCAAATTTCTTTGAGAAGTAAGTACAAAACCTTTGATGCCGCATTATCAAAGTGCCGATGGTTAAAACATAACTATGCATGCACTCAGTTTGATTTTAATAATTTTTTTATTCGCTATGTTTATGGTATTAGTCGTAATGCGCATAGGTCCAGTTTTTCATATTCTTTGATACAGTTTTTTGCGTCTCATAGAATTCCTAAGCGTACCTACCTATACACCGAACTGTTACACCTAACTACTCAGTGAAATAGCGCTAAGTCCTAGCTGCAAGACGCAAGAGTCTTGCAGGCTATGTCTTGTTCTTGCTCAAGTCTTGCACGGTCAGTCTTGGTCTTGGTCTTGCTAAAAATACGCGGTCTTGTTCTTGGTCTTGGTCTTGCAAAAACGCAAGAACAAGACCAAGACTGCAAGACCACGACTGAATTTGGGCAACACTACACTAAATAAAAATAGTAAAATTTGATAAATTTCTTCCGGATCTAACTGTATCTTCTAGAGGAACTGGAAATGGTGTTGTGAATCTAAAAATATCCAAAATTAAATGTTTCAAATCTTTCAATAAATTAAACTGACTCAAGGGGATTTGAAAGGGTGCAAAACTATTAAAGATCTTCTGCATGCAGCAAAAGTACAAGACTCTAAGATGCTACGGCGTAGACGCTAAGGTCACCTCAACCACTACAGAATGTCTTTGTTGACAAATGGTTTAGCAATTGATATGAGGTAATAAAGTTCCTGAATATTGTGAGAGATGCATCATAAATAAGCAAGCTCAAAACTCATTTTCCTACAAGAAAGATAAGGAACTTGCAGAATATTAGGTCGATCTAATTCATTCAGATATTGTAGGTTCTATAAAAAATCAATCTAAAGCTTCTGAGGACCGACAATGGCATGAGTACTGTAGCAGCCGGTTGAATAAGTTCCTCAGTAATCGCGTAATAGTACATGATCTAACGACACATAACAGGAAACATGAGCCGACAAGAAGCAGGCCATCAGTCATCTTAATATTTTTGGGTGTTGTGCTTACGTTTATAGACCTAATGTCAAAAGAAGAAAACTTGACAACCAAAGCAAATATGCTTTTTTGGATGTTCTGATACTAGCAAAAGATAGAAACCTTTAGACCCCAGTATCCATAATCTAATAGCAGTTAAGAAAGTTGCTTTTTTGGAGAAAAATGTCTCAAGTAATATTGTACTCACGCACATGATGTTGTTTCCTTGAAGATAATACCAGATGAAGCAAATAGCACAGAAACTATAGCAACTAATACTCCTAGTTTTCGATACATCAGAAATTCAGAAGACAACATTGAAGTAATTCATGATCAAATCAATAAATCATCAGGTCGTCAATCCTAAGACTGGTTGGACGCGCACCTCCACTCTTTCCTACCCTGAACGAATCTTCACATTTCATTAAAACTAGAACAATCCACATCCTTAACTATTTGCCAACAGTAATCTAATCTAAGTCTACCTCCACCCCTCCTAACTCCCAATTCTGCCCCTAATATGTCTCTGACTAGTCCTTCATGCCTGAGAAGGTGTCCTACCAACCTATCTCTCCTATTTCTTATTGACTTCCATAGAGTCTACTGTTCTCCTATTATTTCTAATACCTCGTCATTTCTAACCTTCTCTGTCCACGGTACCCTCATCATTCGCCTGTAACACCACATTTCGAACGCTTCTAACCTTTTCTTTTCCGCCGCAGTCACCGTCCATGTTTCGCACCCGTACACGTTTCTACAGGGAACACTTTTTAGTGGTTAAAAATGTTAGGGCACAAGAAAAACGAAAGTGTCCCGATTTTAAATTGCCTATTCATTCAAAAGTATGATGAATGAATGAAATATTAATTGGACATTTTATTATTCAATTAACGTACTCCGAATTCACTCCAACGTCTCTAGTCGATTCATGATGAATAAGCAAATACAAAATTAAGCTGTTTATCTCTACCTATAATAAAAGAAAATCCCTCATTCATTGACTCATCAGTCTACCTACCAGCGATCAACGCAAATACCACTTCAAAATCATTATCAAGAATAACGATGAGAACAATAATAAATTAATTTGTAATGTTAATTGTACAGCAACAAGTTGTCGTTTCAATTTCAATTTCATAAAACAGTTTGAAAGATGTTCGTAACCTCTAAGCAATAGATAGAAGTATGACAGTTCCATCTATCTCATGTACTTTCTTATAATGAAAAGTTGAATATACGAGTTGGAATTTCAGGAAATTTTATTATTGATCCCTTTATTCAATCGCAAAACTTGCATGAGGGAATCTTACCTCAATTCGCTTGAAGACTTACTGTACCTCCACATTGTGAGGATATCGAGTTGGTAGAAGAGGTTCCATTAAATGACCTTAAGGTCGCCAAATTTAATACCATGCATTTTATTTTATGGGATCATTTAAAGTATGTTATCTACAAAACCCCTGAGATACTGTAAAATGTAGGAAAGAATGTTAAGCAAAGATTTAATTAGTGTATCGAAGTGAATGGCCTAGCAAATTTAAAATTTATTAATCAATTAAGACCTTTTTTTATTCAATTCTACCTACTTTTTCAACTGGGCTGTAACGTCAATTATCGAGAACTAAAAAGGGTCAACATTTTTATAAAGACAATTGCAGCACCTGACATTTGACCTTCGTTCCATTTAAGATTATTGAGGGAATTGCTACCCCCTTTTGAAGGGATGACTTTACAATTAAAACAAGTCCCCCTTGATCGGTCTCAGGAATTCCCGACAGACAATTGTGGTTAAAAAATTTCCGATGGAAACTTTTAAATGTGCTACCCTGTATATTTGTATGATGCTTTAACTCTTGAGTAAAACAAAACTTGAGATATGCACTTACCGCGTGCTTGTTCATTGGCCGATAAACTTATATCTTGATGGGGTGATAATCAGTTAATTTTTGGCTCGAAATTTTCGTCTCAGTCCGTTACCATCATTCATCAGTTTAAGACACATTTCGGCATCCTTTCGTGAAAGTTTCCCGTTATTTCAATATTATATTTAGCCAGTTAGCGAATTTGAAAATTTTAAAAGTTCCAAAGAAAGATCGAATAATATCTACTTTTTATCCATCACAATGGGCTCGGAAGACAGGCAAGTAGGTTATATTCCAGTAGCAAGGGAAGACCCAACGGAATCGCACAAGGGAAATGGGATCGAGTTGCAAAGCTTCGGAAAGCTGCAATCGCTCGACAAGCTCGCCATGGGAGTCTCCATCGAACCCACCAACCGAAAATTTCTATACGCTGCAGCCCTCACAGGTTGGTCATCTGATACTTTCCATTATTTTACTTCTTAATATCGTTGCATTGTACCATTTTTCGAAAGCTTTTATTTATAAATTTGTATTTAATTATTATTTTAAGTGACATAACATAGTATATGTATCGTATTTCTGTCAATGCACTGAATCGAATAGAATCAAGCTGTAAAATTGTATTACAAGATCCTAGGATCCAGTATTTAATTTAAAGCTTTTTATACAGTAGATAATATGATCAAATAGATAGATAATGTCGCAACACAATTGATACATACAGAAAAAGCATGGAGCATGACTTAAATGTTACAACCAATTCAGCTATCTTTTGAGAGGGAATAGTATAATAAATGACATCGTTATGAAAAAGAAAAAATTTATCATATCCGATACTTATGTACATACATATGTCGTTATAGCTATCGAGCATTTATCGGAAGCGCGATGAAGAGCCCGGAGCGCGAATGAACGATCCCGTGGGGGTCGCCGTGTTTCTGTTTGCCCCAAATTATCGCAGTTCCATCAGAACCAACGAATTTATTTTTTTCTTCAAGCATCACTTCAGTTCATTCGATTCTTTACAGTGCGCCTTCAAGAAGCACAAACAATTTTTTTCTTCTTTGTTCAACTGTAATGGTAAACCGTTTTCATAAAGCTCAATCGTATCTACTCTCACGATGTCTTATTTAGTGTATAAACTGTACAGAATAAAAAAAAATGTTCTCATCTTTATCCTTAATAATGATTTTGAAGTATTATTTGCGTTGATCGCTAGTAGATAGATTGATGAGTCAATCAATCAGGGATTTTCTTTTATTATAGGTAGAGATAAATAGCTTAATTTAACTTTTGCTTATTCATCATGAGTCACTTAGAGACGTTGGAGTCAATTCGGATTATGTTAATTAAACAATAAAATGTAATTAATTAATATTTCACATATTCATCNTGGGGTAAAGCACCCCGGACGTAAACTAGACCTCCATTCCAATATCCAATAGGGATAGGTGCAAAATTTCACGAGTCGGAGCGTCGAATGGTACGACAATGAGGCAAATAGGAAAATTGGAACATTTAGACCTAGATTAAATTACTATTCATCATGAGTCACTTAGAGACGTTGGAGTCAATTCGGATTATGTTAATTAAACAATAAAATGTAATTAATTAATATTTCACATATTCATCATATTTTTGAATGAATAGGCAATTCGAAACCGGGACACTTTTCGATTGTACCGGAACTTTTTTAACCACTAAAACATAGTGTAAAGTGTTCCCTGTATGAGGATACCGTGGATAGAAAAGGTTAGAAATGAAGAAACATTAGAAAGGGTAGGAGAACAGAGGGCTCTATAGAAGTCAATAAAAAATAGACGAGGTAGCTTGGTAGGATGCCTTCTCAGGCATGAAAGTCTAGTCAGAGATATTAGAGGCAGAAACAGGAGTTAGGAGGAGTAGAGGTAGACCAGGATTACATTGCTGTTCAAAAATAGTTAAGGATGTGAGATTTTCTTGTTTTATTTAGGGAAATGCGAAGATTAGATCAGGATATGGAGGAGTGGGGGTGCGCGTCCAACAAGTCTTAGGATTGACGACCTTATGATGATGATGATAATGAAATTTGATTAATACAGTAGAATCCGCTTATAATGATATCGAAGGGAAATGACAAACACGTCATACTAAGTGGGCGTACAAAGCATCATCATCATCATAGAAAATAAACAACTTCTTTCTATTTTGGTTAGTTTTTTAGTTTAATAAACTACAAATTGTATATATTTATTAACAGAAAAAGAAAAAGAACAATGAATTGTAATATCAAAATACATAAGGATGGTCAGCAAAATGAGCGAAAATGTTCTTATTATTAATCATTCGGGTCGCTACAGTAGGATATGATTTCTTGAGAATCAGTCATAATAAACGATATGTCATTTTAAACGGAGTCATTATATCCAAACTTTCCTATAGATAATTTAATATGAAAACCAAACCTGACACTGCAATCACTTCATATTAAGCGGTTGGTCAATATAGGCGGAGTCATACTAAACGAATTCCACTGTATTGTTTAAGTTGGTAATTTTCAAAAAATGACCAGGTATTTCACAAGTAATGCAACATTGAGCAAATATTCATATATATATAGTAAACATTGTTTATAACATATATGCATAATGCATATCTATAACATAAACTATTTCCTTTCGATAACCGATGATGAACACGTAAGAAGTCCAAGTGCTTTATCATTTGATAAGCAGTGCTATTTTTACATAATTTCCCTTGTTAGATAATTACCAATTGAAACAATTAAAGCATTTTATTATAATCTTATATGTACTTCCGTGTTTTATTGGTGTATAGACTATAAACTGATTTTCCTCAACTTGTACAGAATAACCTGCCTACACTATCGGCAGACGGTATAAAGTTCATACGAGATAAATAACTTTTCGATCGATTTGATTCAATCAGCAGAACTTTAGTATCATCGGAAACCGTCAATCTTCTCAATTTTCGTTTTATGAAAATTGTAGGTGGTATAAAGTTTGTCACTTATCCTTAAACAACAGCAGGCAGTTTAAGTTCCCAAAAGTCCAAACGATGCAAAACCATGTTACAACTTTTTCCTCGGATTTATAACAACTACACTACATTATTTATGTGTAAGAAGCTTTCTCGTTCGTCAATGTGCTAAATACGTATCAAAAATAATTGAAAATACAATAATTTGATAAAGACTCCTGGCCAGGATCATAAGGATAAAACTAAAGTTTCTAATTTTCTATATTAAACATACACTTTGTGTAGAATGACAGTAAATAGTGTCCTCCTTTATCGAAATGAAAAAAAAAATAGGCGGATGATGAGGATATCGTGGGTAGAAAAGGTTAGAAATGAAGAGGTATTGGAAAGAATAGGAGAAAAGAGGACTCTATGGAAGTCAATAAAAAATAGGCGAGATAGGTTGGTAGGATATCTTCTCAGGCATGAAGGCCTAGTCAGATTTATATTAGAGGTAGAAACAGGAGTTAGGAGGGGTAGAGGTAGACCTAGATTAGATTACTCTTCGCAAATAGTAAAGGATGTAAGCTGTTTTAGTTTTAGGGAAATGCGAAGTTTAGCTCAGGATAGGAAAGAGTGGAGGTACGTGTCCAACCAGTCTTAAGACTGATGACCTTATGATGATGATG